GCTACAATGACCTTATTGTTGATCAGGGTCTGAATCTTATCTTTCAATGAACGACACTCGTCAAGGGTGTGTCCCTTCATGCCGGAGTGATACGCACAGGTCTTGTTGGGGTTGACCCACTAGGAGGGATTTTCTGGAGCTTTGGCTGGGATAGGAGTGACGTAACCAGCAGCTTTAAGTCTTTCATATAGCTGGTCAATTGGTTCTGCGATGGTTGTGTATTGTCTGGGAGGTTTACGGTCAAAATTTGGTCTGGGTCTCGGAAAATTTTGACGAGTGGGAGGTGATTGATAGTGAGAGGGTTGAGCGTTATAAGCTTGGTAAACAGGTGCTGGTTGAGAGTATCTGGGTGAGGTGGGTTGATATGTGAGAGGTAGAGAGGATTGGTAAACGGGAGGTGGATAAGAGGGTCCGGGTGCTTGGTAATTCGGGATGGGCTGATATGTAAGTGGAGGCGATAGGTAAGTGTGGTATTTTGGTGGTGTTTTGGCTCCCTGTGCGACCATCACGGCACTTACATCTTTCTTCTTGGACGCGCCACCAGTTTGTAAAGCCCTATTGGTGGCTTGCAATGCTTCAAGATTTGTAACCATACCATTCTTGATGCCCTCTTCGATTCTTTCTCCGAGTTTGATGATATCAGAGAACTTTTGACCCTCGATCAACATCAACCTCTCGTAATATTGGGGATCCTGAGCCCGGACGAAGAATCTATTCATTTGCTCTTCTTCTAGGGCCGGCCTGACCTTTGTAGCTTCTGACCTCCAACGAGTAGCATACTCGCGGAATGTTTCGGTGGGTTTCTTCTTCAAATTCTGTATGTAGAATACATCTGGTGCGTTCTTTGTATTAAACCGGAATCTATCCATGAAGTCCGATGCCATACCTACCCAACTCGTCCATTTCTTGGGGTCTTTACTGATGTACCAGGATAGTGCATCTCCCTTTAAGCTCCTCATGAAGAGCTTCATACGGATCTTCTCATCTCTTCCGACCCCCACTAGCTTATCGCAATAGGTCCTCAGGTGGACTCTGGGATCTCCTGTTCCATCAAACATTTCGAACTTAGGAGGTT